CCCTGCCGCGACTGGGGAAAAAAAAAGTGGAAAACAGATATAGGCGAGGAGGAATCTTTCTCCCCGGCACGACTCGGCTCGTTCCTCCGCTTCTATATAGCTCTATTCTGCCGCGCTGCGACGCGACGCGACGCGACACAACGTTTCTCTTCGACGAGGGTAGGTATATCCGATATAACCTACGTAGACGTACGTGCAGTTTACACGTCGCCGCGAAGGGATCGCACATACCTCCGGGTATCTATGAAGCCGGATGGAATTGAAAAACTCGCGTTTACGCATCATGCAGTTTGCCACGAATCCCCCGCGGCTCCTCGCGCTATAAACAATGATCGAGAGCATGAAACTCCGCATCTTAGGAGCGCGAGATCCCCGACAGTTCGCTCTTATAGGTCTTATAAGTCTTATAAGTCTTCCAAGAATAAAACACCCTTCTCTTTCTCTCTTAAATCTTTATTTCGAGAAATTATTTATTAATCGTATCACATTGCACATCCGATTTCATTCTTTCTTTCATTAGACAGGCCGGAGGAAAAACATTTGTTATACATGCAGTTTGCGAAACAGGACGAATTGTTCGCAAATTAGACCAGACTTAATTGGTTTAAGCTTTCTTACGAGACAGCGAGAAGAAGGCGGGAATATTCGCGAAAAGGAAATCAATCTCGTCGTTTATAATATATCCGATCGTGATCGAACTCTTTGAATACGTTCGATGTTAAAGCATATCGGAGCTTTTCTGTACATTACGCATTACGCATGCGAGAAAGCTTGAGGTTCCGCGGCGTAGAAATACACGAGCGACATACATTTTTCAATAGTTACGAGAGAATCGTATGTACACGCATGAGTGAACGTAACACACATCGACTCCGTTAAATTCGTCGGTGATTGAAAGAGTACCACCGTCGTATTTGGCGTCGTCTCTTCGTAAGATTTTCCACGACAAATAATTGTCGTAGAAGATAAAAAACTTGTTCAAAAACGACCCGACGCGACGATTAACACACACAGGTGTTAATAAACTGAGTTAATTCATCAAGGTACTCAAGGATAAATTCCCAGTTATGCCACACTCGAACATAGTCTATATAGAATTGATTGCAAGGATTGCGATGCATCTTATGTCGCGTCGGTCAAACTAGCAGAATGTTAAAGACAAGAATTAAGGAACACAGGAACTATATTAATTGGAAAACAACACAACACTCGGTCGTTACGACACGCAGATTGGAATTTCCACATGATTTTGATTGGGAAAATATTAAAATTTTAAGTAAAGAAAGGTTTTTAAGAATTTTTAGATCCGTTATATGCTACTTTAATTTCTAAAAATACTTCCTTCTCTTCCACAGTTTTATTGAAGGTCTGTTTGTGTTATCGTGTGACAAAACCTTCTCAGCTAGTAGTGAAGACCCATGACAAGCTCGTAATATGTCAATCTTCAAACATCCATGTAAGTTTTTAATTAATTACCTCCAGTCTAATTTCAATCCTATTTATTAAATATGACGCAACTCATATCATTATAGTAAACTTGAAATCTAATGGAAAATTTTGACATATATGGATGCGAAGACTTTATCCACAGTTCACTTTAAGACGAACAATATTTTTGTAAGTAATCTAACACAATCTAAATTTTTTTTAGTTGTAATTAACGATAATCTTTGTATATATTTTAATTATTTATTAATGTATTTGCTGAAGAGGATCCAAACCAAGGATCGAAACGTTCTTATTTAATTGTTATTTACAATAAAACTCATTGCAATCACAGCATCCAGCATTGGCTCTTACAATTAAAGGTTTGTTTATTCCTAATTGAGAAAATAATAACTTTTTTCTTGAAAATTCTAAAAATCACAGTATCACGGAGGAATCGATGTAACTTTGCATGTTTCATTTGCGAAAATTAGTCTTTCTCGACATACGACATTAACAAATTAAATTTCAAAATTGATCCGATAAATTATATTAAATTCTTCGTTCGTGTGATGTATAAGTACACGTATATCTGAGCTAAACAATTTCGTTGTTTTAAATGTTACTTATTTTAATAAATAACGGCGCGACACATAAATTATTTCGCTAACATTGTCAGGCGTTTTCCTTCGAAGGTGGTAATTAGTTCTTTTGTAACGTGCGAGCGGTCGATTAATGGGAGGGAGATAAATAATGCGCCGAAAGTTTATCATGGCGCGTTGCGCGCATTTATTATTTATCGAGACTTTTCCTGCGGCGCGCAGTCGCGCTCTCTTTGCCCGATATAGAGACTGGATGACCACTTACGTCACACCGTACGTGAAACGATGCTAATTGGTCCACTGCAGGAGGGGTAGCGACGCGTGAAACGCTCGCTCTCGTACCACTCGTCGCCCAAGTCGACGCTTCGTTTCTACCCTTCGCTTCTACTCCCTCTCTTCTATAGGTACTGATTCAACGTGCAGACGAGGACAGGATAAATCCATGCACGCACCCGCGACACGTTCCGCTCGTTAATTATATAAAGAATTTCTCAGATTTCTCTCTCTCTCTCTCTCTCTCTCTCTCTCTCTCTTTCTCGCGCGCGCGCATACCGTGTATGCCGCCAAACGTATGATATATGTATATTGGCCCGAGTTTTTTTCGATATGAATTGACACTAGTCGGAATAAAAAATTTTGCGCAAATAAAAATGGTGTTGTTTTGAAAAAATCGAGAAAGATATATTATAGGAAACGAGTCTTTCATTAAAAACTTCTGATGAGCTTGAAAATAAAAGCGTTCCTACAATTCGGTCCGAGTTTAACATACAGGTATAAAGAGAAAGGACATTGTCAAGTTGTTTTCGAGAGATATCAGTTTTCTGGATAACACAGCTACGCCCTAAAATTTATTCTATACGAGATATCTTTTACTACTAATTGTATATTATATATATTTTATTTAACAGTTTACATATATATCTCAAGTATTTTAAATGACTTATAATTTGACATATATAATTGTTCTTTCAATGATGAATAACCTCTAAGTAAATTAGGGGAGAAGGATACGAACTTTGGGAGCGGCTTGCAATCCGAAATCGTTGCTCCCAAGAGAGAAAGTCGGCCGGAAGAATGAAGGGGGAAAGGAGGGGGCGTTACAGGAGCGATCGTGAGTCGTCCTTCGCGGGCGAGTATCCTAAATTTCAATCGACGATTCGACCGAGGCACCGCCGAGAGTCTCTCATCTGGCTCTTCGGGCTCGAATACTCGAGGAGATAGGACGAAGAGGAAGAGCGAGAGGGAGAGTGCGCGGGGAAACAATTTACCCGAAATTCGCCTCGTCGCGCGTTCGGCGACTGGATACACTCTTATTTGTCCCCGTAGCAATCTGTTCCCGACTGCAACCCTCCTCTCAGCTTTCTCCATACCACCGCCACCGCCACCGCCACCACACCTTTTCGGTCGGCCCCTGCAACCCCTATCTGCCCCCTTTCCGCATTCCTCAACGCCGACCATCAGTATCGTCGGCTGTCTTCTCTCGCGACCACTCTGCAGACGACAAAGACGGCGGCGCGAAATCTCCAAGTCTCACGGGAATTTTAAACACCGACGCGACGATTCGTCAGTGTTCTTTCTTCCATCTTCTTTCCTATCGCGATCCTCCGTTTTTTTTTCTTTCTCAACCCCCACCCTCCCCTCCCACCCCGCCGATAGGCGGAATTCGAAAGCGCCTCTCACCGATATATATGTAGAATAATGTAGATACTCGGTACACAATGCAGTTATGGCTTCTCTCTTCTCCTGCCGCGTGCACTCACAGGGTGCGAAAATCGAGGACGTCATTGGCCGCTTCTCTCGATAACGCTATCTTTCAAGGACGCGGCATCGCGTCCAACTCGAAATCCCCCGCGAAGGGGGACTTAATTCGAGCTCAGCGAACCACGTACAATTGAGCGAGGGTGACGCGCATTATTCCATATTAATGTGCATTAACGACTGAGGCTGTCTTGTAAATTAGAAACTGACAAAACTTAAATATCTCTTAATTAAACGTTATCTAAATCTCGCGACGTTCGCGGCGAAATGATCAAGAGTCCAGTTTGAAGACGCATATATACGTATATCTATATCGAAAGTGAGTGTCGCGAATCACGTCGACTTCTCTATCTCATTCTTATACACGATCTCTCGAGAGACTCAGTCGATTCGCTCAGTCAGGCGCGCGGTCGTTTAATCGAGATTTATCCTCATTGTTGCGCATCTGTCGCTTCGCGCGCGCGGGGCGCGTAAAAGAGACGCGCGGTAGAGGAGAAGGAGGGGAGGAAGTTTAAGAGAAAAGGGCGAGAGATGAGGAATCACTCGAGCTCGAGCCTCGAGTCGCGCGCTCGTAGTGAGAGCTCGCAGCGGGGGG